GTCATTAGCACCTCTAGTAATATATTTACTGAGAAAAATGGTGACGTGTTCAATGCTTATTTTACCCGCTGTATATATATTTAGATAAAATGTGTTGCATAAGATCACAACAAGAATGTTTCTTTGACTCATTTAGGCACAACATGCACATTTTTTAATTCATCAAAGTTAAGTCATCAGTGAAATAAGATAAAACATTTTGATACTAAGAGAAATAAAATGAAATGTTTAGAAAACAGAATGTGTTTTTTGTCAGTGTTGTCCTGCACATCATCAAGTCTTTTTACTTTCCCTGCTTTCCCTGTCCATTGAATAAAAACACAAACTCTTCAATTTGTGGCAGAGTTATCCAACCATGTGTGCTGCTCATGACCATCCCAAAAACAGGACTGCATTTAATTAAAAAAAAAAACGAAATAAATAAATAAAAAAGTCATTTCACACTCTCACATTTCTGGAGACTATGATCATCCATTATTTTGCTTTTCTTTCCCRCAGCTGTGTGAAACGGCGCTGGCCCACGGCTACCTTCCAGCAGTCTTCAACCGCCGCAGCCACAACGGCACCCCGCTCACCACCCTSAAACTGCAGCAGTTTGGCGACCCATCGGACCTCCGCGAGGCCGTACGCTACATCCGYTACCGCCAGCCAGCAGGAAGGCTGTACGCCGTCAGCGAGAGCTCCGGCTCGGGCCTCCTCCTGTCTTACCTGGGGGAGTGTGGATCATCGAGCTACATGACAGCAGCTGTTTGCCTGTCGCCTGTGTTCCGCTGCCAGAGCTGGTTCGAGAGCGGGCTCTGTCGGCCCCTGCAGTGGGTGTTGGCTCTGTATCAGAAGATAAGTCTCAGCAGGTAAGGAGGAAAACACACTGAAAGTAGGAAGACACTGGAATGGTTACTGACAAGGCTTGGCAAGATTTGCAGCAGCCATCTTGCTAGGTGCTACACCTCTTACGTCCAACACCTTGTATGCTGTGTCAGCAGTCCAAAAACACATAGAAACAGCCTTATTTCATTTTATTAAACATATTGCAAAAAAGAGGAGTTTACACCTGCAATAAGTCTGAAGTTAGAAAGTTTTGAGGCTTATCAAACTTAACCTTGTAACATAAATACTGTTTCTTGTTCAGTCTTGTTGATATTATACAACAATCCAAGATGTGAACTCTCTCTGTTTCTCAAGCAGAATTGTCATGACAATAGCAGCTATCAGCACAGAAGGTATCTTGTTAAGCCTCAGGACTGGAGTTGAACCAAGCATGTCTTTTATCACCTACTTCATTGCTGAAAATAAACCTAATAATAAAAGCTAATTGAACCTCTTCTCTTGGCACTTGAAGAGACATTGCCTGACGTTCAAAAGGTTTTCTCATATCTGGTGGTGTGTTTCAGGATTTATGTWGTTGAGTGGTGAGATTTACCACAGACAAGGCAGAAACAAATTCATGCATGTAGCTACAAACAGGCAGAGGCAAAAAAAGACATTAATTAGCTCCACACAGAAAAGCCTCTTCTTACCAGTAGATTCAGTCCTAAACCCTACTGTAAATAAATTATATCTTAAAAGACTTAGCACCTTGCAATCATACTTTCATACATGCGTTGWCAGTGTGGTTTACAGCTCAGCCTTCAGCTCTAACAGGTTCATATTCCACACCGTGTCCACAAGATAATAAAGACATACTCAGGAGTTCACTTAATTTAACAAGATTGTTTGTTTTTTTTTGTCTTTATGCTCAGAAAAAGGAAGATAATGAGAAATTTTGCTGATACAATCAAGAGATACAAGTACTCATAAACCATTTGTTAGATCAGCAAAGGCCACTAGAAAAGCAATTAGGTTACCTTAGCAACCAAAGGCCGGCTCTTTGTCAATTTAGTGATTTTTGAGAGACATCGTGACCCAAGTGAAGTTTCCTACATCAAGCCATTAGGGAATTTGAGACCCGTACAGCTCTTCAAAAATGATTTACTGTTTTTCATTTGCCTCTCTCTCCCTCTTTGTGTGTGTCTTTGTGTGTGTTTGTCCCTGTATTTTAGGTACAGGACAGTGCTGGGGGAGATCATGCATACAGATGCTTTGTTTTCTAGCTGTTCGTTGCGGGGTGTGGAGGAGGCCCTGTTCTGTCAGTCTAAACATGTTGGCTCCAGCACAGCAGCTCCAGCAGGGACCGGCAGCGGCAGCRGTAACTCAGTCAGCTGGGATTCCTACTGGGAACGCAACGAGCCACTTAGAGACGTCGACGAAGTGGCCATTCCCGTTTTGAGCTTGTGCGCCAAGGACGACCCCGTCCGTGGAGACGCCCAGTCCACTGTGCCCATGGAGCTCTTCGAGACAAACCCACACTTTTTCCTCCTCCTATCTGACCGCGGAGGTCACTGTGGCTTCTCCACCCAGTCTGAGAAGAGAGCCGTGCCTGCGGCAGCATCGAACAGCACGGCGGAGAGCGACGACACCAACTGGAGCCACAAAGTGGTGCTGGAGTTCTTCAGGGCCACCACAGACTTCTTCAACGCAGAGGAGAGGGTGAAGCAGCTTGCCGCTCGGAGGAGGGGTCTCGGAGGAGGCCTAGGCGGAAAGACTTTCCGTCTCCGGAGTGTCAGCACTTGTAAACGAGTGCCAGSTTGTTCCCATAATATCCACGCCATTTACAACTGGCAGAGGTCCTACACACGATGAGTGAAGCCTAATGGAAGTTTAAAGTACTTTATGGATTTTCACATCAGTCTGCTTAATGTTTTATAAAGACTGATAAATGCGTTCCATTCTCAGAAAACTCCTGAAAGGATCGTTTTTCCTTTGAATCCTGCATTTTATTTTATAACTATTTAGGTTTGGTGCCTTAAGCATCTGAGCGCCCTGGATAAAATTCAGAAAGTGACACAGTACTACTGTATTTCAAGTCACAATGAAATACAATCTGTTACAAGTTAGGAACTCCACAGGGTATTGTCAGGGGCCCTTTCTGGAGTTGTAAGATTAATTGTTCTGACAGGCTTCATGTATACCCCATTTACATCTGAGTGATCTGGARAAGCATTTTTAAGTGTTGATTGTGAAAACGTTACATAGTTAAGACCACAAAGAAAGTTAAATATGCTGCATGACACGCCAGGTTATGATGCCATCTGTGGTTTATTTAAAAAATTTTTGTTGTTGTATTTCGTCATTTTACAGGCCCATTYGGTATTTGTAGAATGTGAGAAATGTGTCCCGACTGACACAACAAATGATGTAGGACAAGAATATTCTGTGTCAGAAGCTCYGATAAACTGAAAAGAGTGAGCAACAAAAGCAACACTCTGCTATCCACCATMKTTACTGTTGGTCATCTACTCGTGCACACACAAAAAAATAGTGGCTACAGCCATCTGTAGTAAACATGTGCAATTTCACCAAAGTTGTGTTTTCCCTTAACTGTCCTGGATTCCAAAGGTTTCAGTGTCAGAGAATACTGCTGAATCCTGCTGTTGTGTTCAAACCTTCAAATTAATTCAAGCTAAATATTTACTGAATTTAAAAGTTCATCCACCCTTATTGTACATRCAGTGTATGAAAGAGAGTTTATTCGTGGCATGACCTGGGAAACTTAGCTGCYTTTTTTCCACCCATTTAGCTTTAGACAACATTTTCTGTTTGTTTTTTTTAATAAACTGGGTATTTTGTGAGTTTTACTGTYTCATTAAATAACCTTTGTAAATTGCTCAAGTATATGTATTGGACAATTTAAATGTGTGTTCTTTTTGCATTAAATCGAAGATTTAAAATCATTTTCAGCCTGACTCAATGCTATAGTGTAGATGGACACAAAAGGGTTGAAACAGCATTAACTGAAGCAATTGATGACATTTACGAGACAAGACTATGTGTAAAAAAACATCACAAAAATAGTGTAAAATGTGCAAATACTGTACAATAAAAGAAACAAAAATTGGCTGTGAGGAAAAGAACTAAGACACAGTAGTGTAAATAATTTAGAACTAGACTGATTAGAAGACTAAATGTAACAAAAAGTACCTAAGTTTTAATTAAATTCATCTGACTATCACATCAAATTTTAGTCAAATATCTGCAAAACTAAAGCGTAGTCACTTTTGTGTTTGTTAAGATTAGTTGCGGCACTTGATTCTAAAAGTTAATCACATGTAAATGTATTTCTAAATAGTTTTCTTAAAGGGGCAGTATTATGTGTTTCCCAGGCATATATTGAAATTCTATACCATAATAAAGTAACTCTGTCACCTTCAGTTGTTATTAAAATGCTGTTTTTATGTTTAAATCAAAGATAAACTTGACTTCTCATTCATTTCTGTTTTTAAACACCTTGAAATTGGCCTCTGTCTCTTTAAGAATCGCCTTCGGATCCGTCATGCCCATTTCAACACGCCATCATAGCCGCTTCTCTCTGCTGTTTAYAACYTGGAGCGTCGTAGCATGATTTGTTGTAACGGTAATTWAAAAAGCAGCAACATTATACAAGATCGGTTTTGGAAAATTGCATCTTGGGGGTGGGGGGTGATGCGGAAGCTCAGTGTAGTTTCCTTGGCTGCATTGAGAAGTAGTATTGGGAGCTCAGCAGACATGGTTTTCACCGGGTGTTTCCTAGTTGTTGCTGTTGATGTGTGCTCTGTGATGAGGAAGCTCAGCTTGGAGACACAGCCCAGAGGAGGAGCTGATCCCAAAAGGCGGTTCTAGTTCCTGTCGTTTTTGCCCCCCTGCCTGGCTGCCTCAGGACAGCACAGRATTTCTCAAACATTCATGAATGAGYCAAAGCAAGACTCTGGGCATGTTTTTTGATGAGAGGATAGCATTATAACATGATATGAAGCTGAAAAAAGTTGATTTTACATTATATTGCCCCTTTAAAATTTGTCATGAAACATTTTGTTTGAAGACAAACATTTTGACTTGTGGCCAATAGGTAGCAGTACAGCTATGAACAGTAAGTAACATTAGATCAGTACAGAATTTCCTTCCTTCAGAGTGAGGTGTTGTTTAGCAGTCTGACTGCTTGAGGGAAGAAACTTGTGATGTTTTGCTGCTTCTGATCTTTTTTACCAGGCAATAGTAGGGAGTTGATACAAGCAGTGGGTGGGCAACACTGCTGGATGCACAGAGATCTCAGCATTTCATGTAGAAGTATGATTGGACAACTGTGCTGTATTTTCAAACCAGGGAGTGATGCTGCTGCAGAGGATATGCTCAAAAACAAACTCTGAAACGAAGCCTAAACCCTCCCTCATACTCGGGCATACTGCGTACAGTCCATGACAAATTCCTTAAATTTTTTGCTATTTCAGTCATGAAGTCGAGGACGAGAAAAATGTAGTTCGTATTTTAGCTTTAAAACAACAAAAGAAACAAACTTATGTTACCCAGGGTATGAGCTATTTCCTCCCACAAATTTGTGGCTCGATGAAAGTTCTTATCTCCATTGACGTATCATATGGTTTCTTTGTTTTCTAATCTCTGCCCTGAGACGCTCTACAAAATTTGACTTCATTTAGTCCACAAATGGCACCGATGCTTAAATTTATCTGCTTGGTGTTGTATCCAAAATGGTTCACTGTGAACTCGCTGGGCACTTTATTGTGCGAACTCATGGACGTAAAAAATGATCTTTGTGGCAACCTTGTAGACATCCGCTTCGAATCCACACTGAGTCTGCTTCAAGTCTGTACAGACCTCCGGGGAGCAAAGTGTGCCCGAGTATGTGGGGGCCTTTAGTTTGTACTCAAAAAAAGACAGCTTTGTGGTGTTTTGGTCAGTGAAACACAGAGGGTCATTGATATTAGGCAATTTAAATAGACACAACCCTGTCAGATTATTGTTGTCCACTAATGTTCATCAAACATWTTGTCAATATTTTAACATGTTTTTGGGTTGTAAATCTAATATTTGTACAATATTATT